TGAGTGTCATGTAACATAATAATAATTCAATAAATCTGAACGGAAAAAATGGGTACGGATGAGAATAGGACGCTCACCGTCACGCTGCACACGAACGAGTCAAATGTGAACCGTCGGTTCATGATTGAAAAATAGGGTACGAATGAAGCAGAAAAACAAAGTCAAATGGGATCGATATGTAATATATAAAAGAAGTGGAACGTCAAATGTTTATATATGTATGAGGCGGATGGCGTTATTTGAATGGAACCTGAAATTCACGAAATGTGGAATCAAAGTGGATGGTNGGGTTTTGCTGGAAGGATTTCACAGATCGATCAATACACTAGATGGTAACAAAAATAACCACGGATACAACGAGTTAATCTTTTCCTCAGTGGGAGCGAACAAAGTAGGCTGCCACCAAAAATGGCCACAACAATCTATCTGCAGCTATCGTAATCCAGTTGAAGAGACAAGTACCGGCGCCACGTATCACAGCAAACAAGAAGAGGTCTGACTCCGTAACAAAAGAGCGTTCTTAGCCCACAGGCAATAGTACAACCGCCAGAGAGCGCAGACCGCAAGCGTTAGAAAAATACGTGCAAAGCCCTTGGGAGTAGACTCCGAAGGAGTGTCCGACTTTTCCTCAATATGGAGGGAGTCACACTATATAAGCGGCTTCATGACGAATGCTTGCAGTAAAATAAATAAAAAGGACGAACCGGCCATTTTACTTTAGGAGGTCGAGTTCACCTTAATAACAGAGGCATGGCTGTCGGAAGGCATTGAACCGGGTCGTATAAGTAATAGCTTCATTGCTCATAGGTCAGACAGACCTGTAAATCTTTTAAGGTTATCATAGCATTTTTCTAACGTTCATTTTAGTGCTTTATATTAATCATGTGTACTTGCACAGTGGTCTTCCGTTTAACTCGTCGCGGAACTCAAGTTGTTCAGTTGTGCTATATTTTTGTTACATTTTTCTTTAGCCTTAAATATATTTACCTATTATTGTTATTGTATCTGTGTTATTATTCGCATCCCTGTTAGCCATTAAGTTTTTTATTCAGTTTGTGTATTAGTCAGGGATTTAGACGTGTTCGCATAAATTATCATCTAAGTCACTTATAAATTCATAAGTCATTGTTACTGGACGAAACAGGATGAAGGTCAGCATAGTGACAAACATCACCGCATCAACTTTAGTCCCATGCGGCAACCCCAAGTGCGCAAAGCCTGTCGTCCGTAACGATATTCAATGCGACACCCGCAAATCTTGGTATCACAAGATCTGTAGTAAAGCTGACAACAGAGAATACGAGCTACAGGTCAAGCACAACTTTCTGCAGTGCTACTATTTGGGCTATAGACAGTCACTAACGGAACTAGCGAAAAATAGAACTAAGAAGGCGACAGACCTTACTGAGGTTAGTACTCAAACCGCGAGGGTCGAGAGTGGTGGGAAGATCATTAGCAAAGGGGCAAATACTGGCGTGAGGATAAAAACCAATCGTTTGATCAGCACCCCAAGTGACGGACCAAGAGAAGATCAGGTAATCCAGCACACCGAAGCAGTTCGCAAAAGGCAACGGTTGAACCTCCGTCAGAGTGGAAAACCGTGCACCACAAAGGAAATTTTACGCCCAGGTTCACACAGACTGGCCCTGCACTGGAGCTACACAGATCGGTCCGAAAGGACCCAACGCATCCCAAGGGACCAGACAAAACCCAATTCTGTGCATAGAGCATTATCTTGCACGGAGACCCTGAATCGCTTGAAGGCAATCCCCAAGAGCATGCACACCATGAACTCTCTCAATGGACCCATGTAGGCTCCAAGCTCGAAATCGAATGACTATTGGTCAGCGGACTATGCCAAATACCTACGTTAACACGCTTGATGCATCTACCTCAGCCCAGACTCCTTAGAATCGCACTCCCACAGAATACGTAGCTAAAGTGATCATTGAGAAATGGCATTCTCTGAGAAACCAGTTTCTCTCAAACCTGCATCTTCATCGATACAACCAAAAGAGCAAACGCCAAAAGAGACAAGACGTAAAAGTGCACTCACGGACGCACAGCCAGTCCTGCGTCTTACCACTGTGTCAGGTAACACTGTCGATCGCGGCTTTCTCATTGTCAGAGAAAAACAAACAACCAAATTGCTCACAGTCGACGAATTCTGGCATTATCGACGCATTAAAGCACGTCATGAGGTTGGACCATCATCACGTTCTGATGATGGGGATTTCAATTTACCGGAGATCTGCTCTAGTACGTTGACCTGCCAAGTGGGATCTGGTTCTAGAACCTCAGTCTTCTTTGACGAGGTGATAGAACTAGGGTGGCACGAGCACGTCCGGCAAGCAACCCAGCGGCAAGGGAACTCAAAACCCTCGGCGCTAGATTAGGTTTTTAACAACAAACCCTTTATGGTCGACTAACCAGAGGTTTCTACACCACTGGGACTCGGTGCCCATGGTGTCATAGGATTCAGATTCGTACACACCACGGAACTGATACAGTCAACAGGGTCCACTCGCTGGAACCTAAGTAAGGC